AATGCTTCAACAATTTTTGTTAAAAATTGCTTCATGATCGAATATCCTGAAATTAACATCCAAATACTATTTCTTGTGGACAATAAAAACTTAATTTATAATCACTGAATTAAATAATTTCCAATATTTTTTTTTGTTTAAATATTTATAAATTCTCAAGATTTTCAGTAAATCAAAGGTTAAAATTTTATTTATTTTTATTGCTTTCCATTAACATTTTCCTTGAAAGTGATCACTTTAATAATGCCAATGATATATAACAGTGATTTTCATGTTATTTAGAACTATGCGTTTTATACAGATGATAATTTGATATTTTTACAGAAATATCGATACGATTTCTAGCTAATTCATTGATCAAATAATTAAATCTGTCCATCGAGATGTAAACTACAATTTTGCATTTTTACATCCTTCGAGAACTGAAGATCTACTAACAGATCTACAAATAGAGTTTATTTCTGTCTTTCCGTCTTTATTTAGACTCTAGTTTATACTATATTTTAGTCCAAACAATTCTAAAAAGATCATCGATCAAGTAACATATGTTTCGCAATATTTTCGGTGATAATCTTAAAAATACGTTTCGTCTTGATGTGTTCGGAAATGGAATTGGAAATCGTATGTTTCCAATCCAAGTTTTAAAATTACAGATGCTTATGAAAGTTCAAACTTCATTTAAATTATATTCATCCTTTAAAGCAAAGTGAAACTGAAATAGCTTTGATTTCATTTATATTTTCCTGGGGTATATTACTTCTGTGAGAATTATTTTAAATCTTTGAGTGAAAAACAAAGTAATTCCTAGTTTTCCGCAAAGTTTCCTTTAAATGATGATTTTATTGAAAAACTTAAATATGTTGTCAAAGCATCATACGATACGGAAAGTTTGAGATTTATTATCCAAATTATCAAGCACAAGAGCATTTACCTTTATTGTAAGGGATGTTAGTTTATTTGCAAAGAACTCAACACATTTATTGGATATTCAGACTTCTTTGTTTGTTATATGTTGTATCTATTAATTTTAGCAGTTTTAGCATTGCAAGTCTAAAGAACTGATATTTCACATCCATAAGGATTTTTGAAATACTTTTAAACATTTTAAATTTTACATTTTTCTTATTTTTTTCAATTTCTACATTTACTATATAATCCATCTATAAAGGAGAAAGTATTCTCTCCATTCATTTCGAGCCCAAACTATGCGAACAGCAGAGTTTATTTATTGTATTGTCATTAGAAGTGATATTTTAATATATTCACACATTGCCAAAAGTAGTGAACATGATATCCAACTTGCTACAAGAAGCTTTCGAGTTGCATTTGTCTAATTCCGAGCAAACTTGCTAACACAACTAAATACTTTAGGATACAATTAACTAGGAATCAAGGTACTTAAAAAACTCGCTTCTGTTAATACTATTATAATTCGGATATTTTTTAAACCATCTTCTCTAATACTAGTACTATACAGGGTGTTTAAAAAAATCTTTGTTAACAGTATTATGTTTAGTATATAAAAAACTGCGTAAATTATAATTTAGAGATTTAAAAAAAGTGTCTTTTAGAATTTGAAATGATTAGACTATATGCTTCTCTAGATATCTGCTTACATTCATCATGTCTATTTAAATAATTTAATCTTTTAATTGGCTGCAACATGTGATTAAGCGTTGATTGCATCAATAAGAGTAAATTTTCAACGAACAATGCAGTTCACATGCAATAAGATAGCATAGCTGACGATAGCGGTGCATTTTTATGAAGCAGTGTAACTGCCATGCTGACAGTCTCCATTTTAGACATGATAAATTTATTTCCTTCTTGAATACTTTAAATCTTAATCTTATTTAGTATTAACATTTCCGATAACATCTTTCCTCCTGATGCAATTTCTGTGTATGTCATTCTCGATTTATTAAAAAAATAGCCGACGGGGTTTATTTTTGGCAACTCACTCATAATAACATAGTACTGGAAGACCATAATTTTGGTGTCACAGATTGAACCCTAATCTATGCTTTTATCTCCGTATAGTTCCTAAAGGTTGCCTCCTTCCTTTTTTGTAGAACGTTATAATTTTTGGTAAAACAATATAATTAAAACAATACTTTTAATAATTAATTTAAGTAAACTATAAAAAATTCAGCAGTGTATTGTAATAATATAATAATAATGTAATTTTAATTTAAAACTGCCTAAATATTTTCATAATTCTAGAATCCCGCATAAGTAATCTCAAGTGGTTTGTCAAAATGTTTGTATAAATTTATACAGTATTTCTATTATATTTTTAATTTTTATATTTTAGGTGTGAATCATTAAAAATTATGTTCTAATAATTTTTTCTCATAGGGATAGAACCAAGCCAAATATTTTTTTATCTGACACGCAGTAGCTAATTTTTATAATTTACTTGTTCATACTTTCTTTCTTTCCACCGACAGCGAGGCAGCCGGTCCACTGGGTAGTTAGCATATCGGCCAGGTAGCCCCGCTGACGGAAATAACTTGAACAAAAGACACACTTATAAATATATATTGTGCTCAAGACGACTGCTGGGGGCAGTGACTTGTTCATACTATAGATCTACTTTATTACAGATCTCAGATCACAGCATCCAATCAGAAAAAAAAACTGAAATTAAATTTTAATTTGTTGAAATTAGCTGAATATAATAAATATCTAGCCTGAAGTTGGAAGAGATATCTGCGAATATAAAATTTTAAAATGAGCCAAAAACCAGCTTTAGTGTGGTGTAAATTTTGAATAGAATTCTGCCGATTTTAAGTCGATCATATACAGGTCCCTCTTCTTCGGGAACATAACTTTTTCCTTTTTGAAAAAGAAGGACTTGCATTTGAGAGCCTTCGAATTCGATAGAGTTTTGTTCAAAATCTACACCAAACTAAGGGCGATTTTTTGCCTACTTTAGAATATCTACCATATTTAATGTATTAAATGGATGCTAGTTTATTTAATATTTAGTGTATAAAAGCATGCTAATATTTTTATGCATTAAACAGTAATATATAAAAGCATTAAACAATTATAAAAGAATATTTAATGTATAAAAGGATTTTAGCAGTTCTGTTTCAATATAAGTAAGTGAACTTAAGTCTGCAAATTCGGTATCATATTCTTTCATAACTAATTAATAGATTTTTAAAAACTGGTATATATATAGATATAATATATATAAAGATGATGAAGTCAGTTGATAAGCACAGGATGTTTCGATTCTGCATACTTTCCAGCGAAATGCACTCGTGGACATCTTAGTCAATCCTTTTCTTCAACAACAACAACAATAAAAATAAACCAATTAACCAATGAACCAATGAAATAAACCAATGAACAACAACTACAACAACAATAAAAATAAACCAATTAAATTAAATAAATAAAATAAAACTGAAGAAATTCGAAAAGCACACGAGCCTCTTTCTTAAAATTATACAGCTTGTAAATTTACATGCTGATAGCACGAGACCAGAACGTAGAAAAAAGAGAATTAACTTAGAAATTAAACTCTAGATTTTGTTATTAGTTATTTAGCATTATTACTTAAGAGGATAAGGATATGAAAGGATATGATTTTTTTAATGTTATTGTTATAAGCGAATGTGCATAGAGCGTTATATAAGCGGTATAACGGTATAGCGTTATAATATTGTTACAAAATGTCCAGCTGCGTTAAGATAGCTTGCCCGCAAAGCGGTTTTAGGGTTTCCAGAAAATGGTAGGTGAAGGCAGATTTTCCAGATTTGACGCGAAATCTCCCATTTGGCAACAAAATTGGCGATATGCCATAGACGGACGGAGAACATTCTAGAACGAATTCTTACCGGTTTGGGCCAGAATGTTCTCGAAGACAGGCCAAAAGCTTTATAATCCCTGCCTGTACGCGGAGTAGCAGTGTATCGTGATTTAGTGCATTGCGAGAGTTTATCGTCAGTGCATCGTGAGTGTATCGTTGAATTTTATCTTGAGTGGGCTGAGCTCCGAGATCTATCGACCGAGTCACGAGCTGTACTCTAGTGTTTTACCGTGAAGCTGTCTTTACGGTTATAGCCTGAAGGCTGTGTTTCTGATTGTTTCAGTGTTTGTCAAAGTTTTTCGACAACTGTAAACGTAATTTTGTAACTATCCTGAGTAATATTGGCTAAATAAATTGTGTTTTGTTTCTTCATCAAATGTTGTCATCAATCACTCCAAAGCCACGAACCCGTAGAACGCAACAATATGTAAGTACTAAATAGAGTCTGCTAATGAAAATGTGATATGCATCAGAAACTTGAATTTTAAACTGCTAATATTTTTAGGATAAAAAAGGAAATCCACAAATTAAATTTAGTTATTTTAAACTAAAACTAAGCTGTCATCTGAAATATTAAACTTAATTTAGAGACGTTGAATGCTGAATCCTTTTAAAAACTTTTGAAATACTTTTTGTCTTAATAATTATTTATAATTTTATTTTAATAATGCTATTAGCCGTAATAATTAATGGATTTCTAAATACAACAGACCATAAATTTTGATCATAATAATTTCAGAAAACTAAACACAATTCTTAATTTGAAAATCCTAATGAAATCAAAATATTCATTCCAAAAGAAATTTGAACAGTTCTTGTTTTCGTGATTGTGATGAAGTTTTTGGCAAAACTTCCATTATTTTTCATGCCCACGAGTCGCAAGTCTATAAGACTGTTGAACATTAGTAGTTCAACTGGCCCAATGTACTGTCTCTATGCTTATAAACTGTCTTAGCTTTCTGCATGTATAAGTGAATACGAGCCAGTTTTCCTTACAAAATTCTCTATAGAGGTATTTTTGCTTTTAGACAGATAGCCTCTCATGCATTAATGTAATAAATTAAACAAGCAAACAATTAAACATTTTCTTATTGCTGCGTGCGTATGGGTTCGTAATGGACTGAATGCACACAGAATCGATGATAACACAGTAGAATTTATTTTCCCAAAAGAAACATTTTACAGTTCTGAAACATTCTACAAAAGTACACATACAGCTCTTTAGTATAAAAGAGCACAATCAGTAGTTAGGACATCAAACTACTAATAACGTCAAACACAACGCAATGCAAAGCGTGTCCAAACAGCGAAGCTCGGACGAAAATCTCTCATTACTCCAAAGTCAGCTCTGAACTAAAAACTGAGAGCTGATGCTGTTTTCGTTTTATATAGTTTTCTTCTCGGCAGCCGGGAAATTTTCAGTGCTTTCCCTTTCTCGAAATTTCTGAAAGGCATATACGGTTACAGTTATATATTACATATTTTTATTACATTATGCAATAGTAAATCATTCTAAAATGCAATAGAACACTATATTTAATAAATATCTGAAAAGTTAATTTAAAAGTTTGCACATTAATTTACAAAATCTTTCTGAATTCTATATGTTGAAGTAAACTCTAAACTTGTAAAACTTTCCTTATATGTGATTGTTACGTAAATATTGAGTAATACACCATATATAGAAGTGGGCGGGATACCACGGGCATTTTACAAGTAGTTTACGAGTATAGTCCCATCGCACCCCCAGTTTTGATGCTGAACACCTCAGGGGAAGTTTCCCACCCTTCTTCTTCTACCACCAAACCACTCGAGGCGACTTTCAGTTCGATGATATTTTGAGTACTTCCGTGAAGCACTGATACACCATATATTTACGAACATCCAAGTCTTCTCCTGAGTGGGTACCCGGGCCCATTGATGCGGGGTCCAGCTGTGGTAGCCGCTATATCGATCATGGCAGCAATATTTAATAGCAGTCGATAGCTGAGAGCAGGCAAGGCCACCAGTACGTTACCATGAGATCAACAGGTGCTGTCGTTCGATTACAACTCCCTATCTTTAATAGTAAGGAAATTACAAATTGCAGTTTTAACAAGAATTTATGTAATTTCCTTAATATTTAATAATAAGAGAATTACGTAAAGGAGATTCATTTAATATGTTTTCAGATATAGTCTGCATAGTGTCATTTATTCAGCACAGTGAGTGGAAGTTAGGCAATAAGGATAGAAGGATATGAATGGTTTAATTTGAAGCATGCCCAAATGAAAATAACGGAAGATTCATGGCACTTCGCTTGTCAAAAAGTTTCCACTTATCTTTCTGAAGGTGAAAAGATACACTGTTGCAACATAGTTGCAGCTTTTTTAAGATTATAAAGCTTATTGGCAGATTGCTAAGAGGGAGGATGTCTTAGAGTACTCCTTACATTTAAAAATAATTTTTATTCAGATAAATTATTAAAACGATATCCATCATAGCATAGCCATATCGTTACCAACTCTTACCACATCTTTGATAAATTTTAGTTTTTTCTTAGACTGGTGTTTAAAGGTGGAATGTAAAATAATAATTATTTCTAGACGACACAGAACAGAATAAGCGCATTCTTTAAATTTAAACCTTGCAGTGATTTTTTGAAACTTTAATATTTTGCTGAAAACGGGTTTTAAAAACATGCTTACCCTAAAAGATTCCATACTATTCTTGAAGGAACGCTGCTAGAAAAAGGAATAGAAAGTCAAGTAAATAAATAAAAGGAATTGAAAGCATAAAATATTTTATTGAAATGCCTTAATATATGACTAATTATGTAACTAAACGTATTATATAACCAAACAAAAAGCAAAAGTAAGTTTTAAAGTATACCCTCTATTCTGCTTCATTTATAACATCTACTTCATGCTACATGTTTTATTATATTAATAGCTCAAACATGAAGGCATATTTTCTCCATGTTAATTCTCCTACATATCATTTAGCGTTAGCTTTGTGATCTGGGAAAATATTATATGGATTTTAATTGTTTGAGCGAGTGTTGGCTGCTCAATGTAAGTACCCATATTTATCCTTTAACTCTCATGTTATATTCAAAGACGTGGCGTCTTATGTATTTTCTGATGTACTTCAAAATTTTCAAATATGTCAAGAACTTTGCTATATTTTTATTAGTAAAAGTAGTCTGATAAATTCACCTGATCAGTATTTACCAAAATCGTGAGCAATGAAATTAAATTGAACTAGATTTCCAGACAAATGAACAAAAACAGCCAGTGTCTTATGATCGTAACAGCTGTAGATAAACGTAGGTCATTTTATAAGAGGAATTTTACTTCACTGATGAGATACATTAATCTGGTAAATTCATCGGGCTACTTTCAAAGTGACTAATAAGAGTAGAAAAGATCTCGATATCCATGAAAATACAAGAATTGTTTTTAACCTAACACTATTTAGAGCCATGTTTAGCTCGATCTATCAGTTAGAATGCCACCAGAATTGGTAAAGGGATATATGACCACAAAGGGAAAAAAGATTTCTTTAAAAAAAAATAATTAGTTCCGAAAGAGCCGATAGAGGAAATATGGTGCTGTTCTAGGCTACGCAACGGAAAATTTGCGTGAAACATAGGTAAAATTTGAAAATGCAAATACTCGGTTACGCAAGCAACAGAAGCGTCAGCAATTCAGTCTCTCTCATTACCGCAGTACACGTTAGTTGGAAAATATTTTATCTTCATTAATCGAATGCAACCGCAGCTTTTTGCGAGTTTAGAAGTCGTAATAATATATGCAAAGATCCTCTATCAAGTAATGAATTGAAAGACATGATTCAGAATTTTGAAGAAACAGGATCCTACTTTTAGTTTGGTAGAAGGCGAGAACCGGTGTCAGAATATATAGTGACTGATGTCGTAACTGTAATCACTTGTCGCAATAGCACCATTACTGGTGGTAGCAGTGAGCGTGGAATAGTGCGACAATTGGATTTGAAGCTTTCAACGGTACGGTAAATCTTGGAAAAAGTTCTTCACATATATTCATGCAAGATACGCCGCTTTCAGGAATTAAAACACAACAATTATGATAAACGGGTAACATTTGCTGTGACATTTTTTGCCAGGATGGAGGTCGACGATGCTTGGCTGTGAAGAATTCTGTGAGAAGATGAGGCTCATTTTCACCTAAATGGGCTGTTAACATTCATAGCTCTTGAATATGGGCATCCAGGTTATTCCATGGTGCTTAGGAAATCCCACTGCATTTACCAAAAGTCACTGTTTTGTGTAGCTTCACAACAGATTATATCAGCGTTACTACGCAAAGGAACCGTTACTATGTACCGTTAGCATATTTCACAAATGCACATCTGTGTAGCCACCGAGGGAGGGGCTTCTAGGATGCACCAATGGGCTTCCAGTGATATTTCTATCATGTCAAATAATCCTTTGGCGCGCTTTAAGCAAAGATGGTTGGAAACATTTTGTCATGCAATTTCCGTTACAAAATAATTAAAGCACAGTCGATTTCTTCTTAAAATTTTCATTGTGAAGTTAGATAAAATGGAAGAATGTGAAGATTTCGCTACCTTATGACAGATTTAAAAAGAAATACAAACACATGTTGGATACTCGCAAAACTTGATTGATCAATTCGGTTTCTGTTTTCAAGGAACTGCATTGTCAGCATTCTTCATATCGTAAAGTAAAGGTATGCTCTAAAAAGTCTAAACAGTATGTAGCATTTGTATTTAAGCGTAATTGACTGCAAATGGATTTGTAATTATATTTAAAATTTGTTTCGTCCTACATTTAGTTCAGACGAAAAAAACATATATTCTAGACATTTGGAATACAAATTGCCTTACGAGTTTTAAATGCAATGGTAAATTTATGAGAGTAATTTAAAAACTTCAATAAAATTATGCAATTCCAATTATTATTATATATATCTTGCGTCGCGTCAAGAAACAGCATTTAAGCTAGATTCATTTAATTATTCAGACTCAGTATACTATTTAAATATTATGAATGCTTTATTTTGGCAAAGAGAAATATGCAACAATAAAAGAAAAAATAAATGCACATTTAAAATGTTACTAATATTTAAGCGGAAACCATACCTTTAAAAAGTACGAACATTTTCATATAGAATTTATTTTAATTAGAGTTACTCAGACTCATCAGAATTAGTTTGGTGTTGTAAATGCTATGTCAAATTGAAAAAAACTTGAAATACATAACCACAGATCAAAATATGTTTTCTCAGTGTTTTTTTAGGAATTTCATTCGTGCTGCTACAGTTGCATAATGTTGTTTAAAACTTTACTTCAGTAAGCAAAGTTCTTCTGTATTAATTTCCGTTAAATGATTTTAACATTAAACTACCTTTTAATCAGGTCATACAGAATATATATTTTGAATCTTACGCTTTCAAAAACAAAAAATACAAGCTCTGAAATAAGAAAATACTAGATTCATTGTAACACTTCCAGGCGTTCTCAGCTTAATAATATATACAGTGATGGCCAAAATTGTGGACACTTTTGGAAATTATGTTTTTGAACTTTGTATATTTTTTAACTTATAGAAAATGTTACGTTTCACAAAATGCAAACTTGTATATATCATTTTAAAGAAATTTATACTGAATCAATCAAAACACACAAGTCAATTATTTGCAATACAAAAAAAAATGTTATGTACTTTTAAATAAAAACACAGTTATGAAGTGGTTTGTAATGTCTAGCTTTCCTGGCCAATCACTGTTCTTGTTCTGAGAACCAATCAAATGTTAGTAACTGCCAGTAGAAGCTGACATCATGTTTACACTTGAAACAATTCATTACTTTGCTTTGTTCTATAGAAGGAGGACCTGTTTCTTATACACTGCAATTACAAGAAGGAATTTTTGTAAAAATTTTTAATATTTAGTCAAGAAGCAATGACATCGGATAAGAGAGTAGATTGGACACCTAGAAAGAGATGTAATATTATTGTGTTACAGAAAGTGGTCTTCCTATGCTGAAATTGCAAGGACAGGTGGTGTTCAGTGACTACATCTGGAGTCCGAAAGTTGTTTACGATATCAGGAGACAAATTCAATAAAAAAACAAAGAAGCAAAGGCCGAAAAAGGTGCACCACATCTATTGATGACAGAAGAATAAAAAGACTATGTCTCCAAGATAGAAAATGTCATCAGCGGCACAGAAGTGATCTGAATGCTGCTGGTGTTTCATGTCAGTTCAAGAACAATCAGGAGAAGATTAAACAGAGTTGGACTGAGAGGTAGAATTCCACGAAAAAAAGCCTACAATTGGGCCACCTCTGTATATATACACACTTGAATCTCTTAATCCCAGGTGTTAGTAAACGCATAATATTAGAGGCTATTGTAGCTTGAGTCATTATCTCGATTTTTTCAAAATATTCAATGCGTGATAAAATCGAGAAAGTGAAATGTCAGCGATAAATAAACTCATAAAGCGAAAGCACTACGAGAATTTCTTCTATTACGCCACATATTTATGACTGCGAAAGAAATAGAAATTAAAACGTAAACAACATACGCCCATATGCCCAGTTTCAAAGATTCACCGTTACAAGAGCAATAGAAGCTGATTGGTCCATTTTCGAAAGCCCTCCCTCAGTGGCTACGCTGATGTGCACTTGTGAAATATGCGTACCGTTACTACGCAAAAGTATTATGATATACTGACTAGTTCTGTCATTCTACAACTTTAGCAGAGAGAATTGCTGTATCAGGTAACTTTTATGCAGGATGGAGCACCACGGCACTGCCATCACTTTATAGAATAGAGGAGTCGCTTTTTCTTCTTGCACCGCTCCCCGAATCCAATCATATGCGACTTTTTCCTATGAGATATTTAAAGTTAAAAGTCTATCTCTGCTTGAGTCCCGACCTCGAAGACCTTAAAGGACAACAGATCACGAGCTGTGCTTAGCATTCCTGGTGGCATGTTGCGTTTTGTCGTCAAAAATATTGTGTACGAGATGCAGTGTGTGATCCAGGAGAAGGTGGTCACATTGTAAGAGGGCTATGGCCTCGTCGAAGAAACGCTTTTATTGAATAAAGTGTTATAATGCACTGAAAAGGCATCATTGTAACCCTTGGAGGCAGTTCATTTGTTGCATTAAAGCGGTTATTGCACTGAAATATCTTTATTATTCATTTGTCTAGTTTTCAGCTGTGTAGATTAGATCCCTACGTGGGCCCTCCCTGACTCGGGGGAAGGGCGTCAACGGGTGAGTAGGCTGTGCTGCTTACGCATGGAGGTAGGAAGTAAGAGTCCTACCTCCATGTGCTTACGCGGTTAATCGGCCTCGACCTCCCCCTCCTTCCGCCGAGCTGATCACTTGCTCTGTCACTTTTAATGGAAATGGATAATATGGGGAAGATCATCGGCCTTCAACCATACAGCTACCATTTCTACAGTAGTCCGTTTAGGCGCACCAGGGGCTCATAACGGTACTGTCAAGTCTGACTCGGGCTGTGTGACTGCCAGATGTTTTTTAAATAATTTCTGAGGAGTTGGACATTATAACCATGTGTGGGCTGCCCGACGATCTAGGTTTGAATGTTTTTCTCTCTAGTGCACTGCGTAGACTAGAAAACTAGAACAGCACCTCATATTCTTCTATCGGCAACTTTCGGAACTAATTTTGTTTCACAGTATTTTTTTCTCCGTGTCGTCATT